CACACAAGACCATCTCCACATGGCCAGTCCTCCGAGCAGGATGTGTGCTGATCACGTGACTTGGAACAACTGTTTAAAAGAGCGTATTCCAAGGACTTCAGAGAGGGTCAGGCGCGTCGCTCAGTTGGTGTCTATTCACCAAACACCCCACTTTTTTTTTTTTTTTTTTTTTTTTTTTACCAGTTTTGGGCCATTTTTTAGAATTGTGGACTGTGTGCAAGGACTTTATTTTTTTTTTTTTTTGTTTCATTTCAGAAAAAAATATTTTTAATTTTGCCTCATTATGAGCATGAGTTCAAAAGGGGCACCTACTAAAGTCTCCTAGAAGACTTCACTCATCCCGCCGGTTATCGCTTCTGTACAGAGTCGGAGCAGAGCTGTTGGTATTATCATTTTTTTTTTTCAATAAAACTATTGAAAACCGCGAGTGTCCTGTGTGCATTCCTAATGAGTTTATTCAGTTGAAGGTGGAGGGTTTTATGTTTGTTTCCCATGTGTTGCATCTGTGTCAGGGGTGAGGGGGGGGTTGGTGGTCTGTAGAAATCTGTTAATACTTTCCAGTTCTATCCCAGTTCCAATAGCAATATATTTTCTCTGCAAAGCTCTTGCTCCCTGCTGATAGGGGCATGTTGGACCTCTGCAGAGACCACTGCTTCCACAAAGTAACAGTCTTTTATGGCATGCTGGCAGGGGACAGGCTTTTCTACTGAGGTTGGGGCTGCTTTGTAAAGAAAACAAACTATAGGGCTTTGAATATAATGGGGGACATTTATCAAGCAAAATTGGTGATCTGTTGGAGTATGTAGATTACATGGCTCCTGTGATCAGTAGAAGAATAGTGTCCCATCATTGGTGTCATGGGAGGAACTGTGCCCCATCATTGGTATCAGTGGAGGAATAGTGCCCCATCATTGGTATCAGTGGGAGGAATAGTGTCCCATCATTGGTATCAGTGGGAGGAATAGTGCCCCATCATTGGTGTCAGTGGGAGGAATAGTGTCCCATCATTGGTGTCAGTGGGAGGAATAGTGTCCCATCATTGGTGTCAGTGGGAGGAATAGTGCCCCATCATTGGTGTCAGGGGAGGAATAGTGTCCCATCATTGGTATCAGGGGAGGAATAGTGTCCCCATCATTGTGTCAGGGGGAGGAATAGTGCCCCATCCTTGGTGTTCAGTGGGAGGAATAGTGTCCCATCCTTTGGTGTCAGTGGGAGGAATAGTGCCCCATCATTGGTATCAGTGGGAGGAATAGTGCCCCAACCTTCATTGGTGTTAGGGGGGGAATAGGCCCCAGGAATGGTGCCCCATCATTGGTGTCAGTGGGAGGAATAGTGCCCCCATCATTGGTGTCAGTGGGAGGAATAGTGTCCCATCATTGGTGTCAGTGGGAGGAACTGGTGCCCCACCTTGGTGTCAGCGGGAGGAATATTGCCCCCCAACCTTGGTGTCGGGGGGGGGGGGGGAGGAATGGTGCCCCCCATCCTTGGTGTTGGGGGGAGGAATGGTGCTCCCATCCTTGGTGGGGGGGTGGTGAATGATGCTGCCCCCATCCTTGGTTAGTCGGGGAGGAATGGTGCCCCCATCCTAGGTGTCGGGGGGGGGGGGGGGGGGAGTAATGGTGCCCCCATCCTTGGTCTCCGAGTGGGGTGGGGAAAGGTGCCCCCATTCTTGGTGTTGGGGGGAGGTGGGAAATGGTGCCCCAACTATGGTGTTGCGGGGGGGTTTGGGGAATGGTGCCCCAACTGTGGTGTCACGGGGGGGGGGGGTTTGGGGAATGGTGTCCCGGTGGGGTTTGGGAAATGGTGCCCTAACCTTGGTGTTGCGGGGGGTGTTGGGGAATGGTGCCCCAACCTTGGTGTTGTGGAGGCAGGGAAAATGGTGCCCCAACTGTGGTGTCGCGGGGGGGGTTTGGGGAATGGTACCCCAACTGTGGTGTCACGGTGGGGTTTGGGGGAATGGTGCCCCAACTGTGGTGTCACGGTGGGGTTTGGGGGAATGGTGGTGCCCCAACCTTGGTGTCGTGGGGCGTGGGAATGGTGGTGCCCCAACCTTGGTGTCGTGGGTGGGGGGGATGGTGCCCCATCCTTGGGGGGGGGGGGGGGAATGGTGCCCCAACCTTGGTGTTGTGGAGGCAGGGGAAATGGTGCCCCAACCTGGGTGTCGTGGGGCGTGGGAATGGTGGTGCCCCAACCTTGGTGTCGTGGGTGGAATGGTGCCCCATCCTTGGGGGGGGGGGGGGGGGGGGGGGTGGGGGTGAAATGGTGCCCCATCCTTGGTGTCAGGGGGAGGAATGGTGCCCCATCCTTGGTGTCAGGGGGAGGAATGTTTGCCCCATTGTTGCTGTCAGTGGAAAACGTTGTGCTTCATATTTGGTGTCAGTGGGAGGGAATAATGCCCCAAGGGCCAGGTAAAGGCAAGCAGAGCTGCAGATTGGAGTCGCTGCTCTATCCATTTTCTGTGTATTTGTGGCCCCTGCAATCCTGGGCATGCCAACTGCAATAGATTAAGTTCTGTGAGAGATTTATTACTGTAGATGAGGCAGATTTTAGGCCGATCCATAACCAGAAGTGGTGAAGGTTGGATTTCATTTGGTTACGGAGCTCCAGATGTTTTTGCGTTTATTAAAAGGCAGCAACTACAAAAACTGTATCTGCTGACTTAATAAAACACACTTACCTGTCCCAGGGTCCTGCGGTGTTCTCACCCGCGCCGTCTCTTCTCTCCTCCATGGCGCCGACATCTCTACTGTGGGCAGCAGGCTGTGACAGCGTGTGGCTTCACAGCCTGGTGCCCACTGTGAGCTCCGCCTCCTGATTGGTTGGCAGTCTCCTAGGACCTGTGAAAGTTCCCAGGAGACTGCGGCAGCAAGGAGGGGGCCGAACTTCCGGGACACTGAACTGAGCTGGAAGTAGGAGTGGGTACCTGTCAAAAACAGGTATACGCTCCCACCCCCCCAAAGGTGCCAAATATGGGAGGAGGGGGGGGGGGGGGAGGCAAACAAGCGGAGCTGCCGCTGTTGAGTGGAACTTTTAAGAGCAGCTGAGGGAGGAATGTGTGACCTTGTCATAAATCGGTGGTACGATCTGTCCCACTATCTGATTAGCAGGGCCTTGCTGTGCCAAAAAACTGATAAATGTCTCCCAAAGTAGCCCCATAATCAGCTCAAAGATGAATGTTAGTGATATTAAAGCTTTATTTTTCTATTAAAATAACCAACATGTCATACTTACCTGCTCTGTGCAATGGTATTGCACATAGCCACCCCAATCCTCCTTGGGTCCCTGCTGGCCCCTCCCCCATAGGGGGCACTTGTGCAGGCTCACTCCTAAGCTGTGCCCTGTCTGCAGTGTTTTTTTTTTTTTTTGCTTTCTTTTTTTTTTTACACACTACACAGATTTCTTAGCTCTGCCCCGTCACAGGATTTGATTGACAGCAGTGGGAGCCAATGGCTCCTGGTGCTGTCCATCTGCGCTGAGGGGAAGGATAGAGCCAGGAGAGCCTGTGTTCTCATGTATAGTGCTGGGCTGGGAAGGCTCCGGTACATATGGGGGATGTGAGGATTCTGTTCCATGGAAGGAACAGGAAAAAAAAAAAAAAAAAAAACCTTTAGGCTTTAAAAAAAAAACTTTAAGGCACAAGAGATCTGGACTCATTACTGGCCAGTTCCGTATTCTCCAGCGCTTCTAAACCATTTCTGGGGGCTTTTTGACGTGCACTTTGTCCGCTGTAAGACCCATGACCTCTGACGGACACCCAACTTTCTGACATCGGGCCCTACATTGCACCCCAGAATTCTTTGGTGGTCTTCAGATTTAATAATACCATCCACACGGTCAAGACATCCAGTGCCTGAAGCAGCAAAGTGACCCCAAACCATCAGTGACCCCCCCAACATGTGTGACTGGAGGGACTGGATTCTTTTCTTTAAAGGCCTCATTGCTTTTTCTGAAAACAGTAGAATGGTGGGCTTTACCAAAAAGCTTTTGTTTCCATTCTCCCAAAAGGATTTTGGCTTCCTCAGGTAAGTTTTGGCAAACTCCAATCTTGCTTTTTATATTTCTGTGTCAGCGGTGAGGTCCTCCTGGGTCTCCTGCCATATTTCTGTGTCAGCGGTGGGGTCCTCCTGGGTCTCCTGCCATATTTCTGTGTCAGCGGTGGGGTCCTCCTGGGTCTCCTACCATATTTCCGTGTCAGCGGTGGGGTCCTCCTGGGTCTCCTACCATATTTCTGTGTCAGCGGTGGGGTCCTCCTGGGTCTCCTACCATATTTGTGTCAGCGGTGGGGTCCTCCTGGGTCTCCTACCATATTTCTGTGTCAGCGGTGGGGTCCTCCTGGGTCTCCTACCATATTTCTGTGTCAGCGGTGGGGTCCTCCTGGTCTCCTGCCATATTTCCGTGTCAGCGGTGGGGTCCTCCTGGGTCTCCTGCCATATTTCTGTGTCAGCGGTGGGGTCCTCCTGGGTCTCCTACCATATTTCTGTGTCAGCGGTGGGGTCCTCCTGGGTCTCCTACCATATTTCTGTGTCAGCGGTGGGGTCCTCCTGGGTCTCCTACCATATTTCCGTGTCAGCGGTGGGGTCCTCCCTGGGTCTCCTGCCATATTTCCGTGTCAGCGGTGGGGTCCTCCTTGGGTCTCCTGCCATATTTCCGTGTCAGCGGTGGGGTCCTCCTAGGTCTCCTACCATATTTCTGTGTCAGCGGTGGGGTCCTCCTGTGTCTCCTACCATATTTGTGTCAGCGGTGGGGTCCTCCTGGGTCTCCTACCATATTTCTGTGTCAGCGGTGGGGTCCTCCTGGGTCTCCTATCATATTTCTGTGTCAGCGGTGGGGTCCTCCTGGGTCTCCTGCCATATTTCTGTGTCAGCGGTGGGGTCCTCCTGGGTCTCCTGCCATATTTCTGTGTCAGCGGTGGGGTCCTCCTGGGTCTCCTGCCATATTTCTGGGTCAGCGGGTGGGGTCCTCCTGGGTCCTCCTGCCATATTTCTGGGTCAGCGGTGGGG